TTTTTTTTTTTTTTTTTGTGTGATTCCAAGTTCTCATAATATGGGTTGTTCTATTTAACATACGTAATTGCGTTTTCAATCATCACCCAACTTGTGTAAAAAAGTCAAGTTCAGTTTTTGTGCTCAACGCTTTCATCGCCTTAACTTTTCTTATCGTGAGCAAGATAACACATTTTCACCACTAAAGTAGATCTTTTTTTCCCCTTTATTTATTTATTTATTTATTTATTTTTTTGGTACATTTTTTCCCCTTTATTTTCAAATGATAACATGATTTCCCATGTGCCCTCCTATAAGAATATTTCAATTTTGACAATGATTTTTCTCTTGAATTTGGTGGGTTGGGAATGTTGGAAAAATCTTTTTTTTTTTTGAGATTTTGGTATAATTATTTTGAAAAGAAAAGGTATGCATATCTTTACACATACAATAGTATTTTTATTGGGAAATGTTACAGTCCTGTTATGGAATTATTCTGTCGGGATTGTAACCGTTAGATCATCATGTAATCATCGTGGATAGTTGATTTAACAGTTACAAACATCGACGAAATGGTTCCGTAGCGGGACCGTAGAATATCTCATTTTTATTATTTTCTCTTGTCTAGGTCTAATGTTGAAGTCGAGCCCAGTCTTGCCAGTGTGATGGCCTTTTCTTTTGCTCTAGTTTAGTGTTAGGCCGCTATTGTTAGCCTTCCTCTTACCCTGCCCTGGTGGCAGCCATGTATATGAATGTTTTATTTCTTTTTTGTTGGAATATTTTATCGTTTCAAAAAAAAAAAGTATAATGCACTTGGGTTAGCTTTCTATTTTGGTTTAATTTGTATATGAAGTAAATACCATAAATGGATATTTATGTATAATTAGTTACTTTTATTTATAAAACCTTCTACTTTTATTTATTAAACACCTAATTATCTTATAATACTTTATATAATTGGATAATTCTATCTAGTAGTCAAAGTTGTTCCAATATCAGTTAATTTAATCAACCAAATGTAACCTATAATTCAATGTGTCACATTAAATATCACATCCAAATAAGGTTGTTTTAATTTATGGAATTCACATGCAATAATTTTAGTGGTTAAAACTTGAAATTGAGCTTGGAGCAGACCACATGACATGTCTCTTACTCCATGTGTCCCCTGATTTTTAACTTTTAATTCACTAATTCCTTTTCTCACATCTCATAATCAACATAATTAATTGACTGTAATGTACTGTCCCATAATGTTGCCAAATGTTAAAAATAGATACATGAGATAGAGAATTAGAGATGCGCACAATTATTTAAAATCAGTGTTCTAAAAGTTGCTAGGCGCCCGCTAGATATTCGACCAGCGTCTAGCGCCTAGGCGGGGCCTAGTCAGAATCAAGATTAAATACTTTATTTTTTTTGTTTATTTTCACTACTTACAAAATAAAACTATCTTAACTTATAATAAATCAACACAGCTAAGTCCAAATAATAATATTAATATATTATAAAGAAAACATGATAACAAAATAATGTAATTATTATTAGAATATTCACTTGTGAGTTGTCCCACATCGTTTATCGGGACAATACAATGAGTAGTCCATTAGACTTATAAATTAGTCTTATTTTCCCTACATAAACGATATG